TTTTATCTATTCCAAAGAAGGCACAATTGCTGACCCATAAACTAATAGTTTTCCAGTGTTCGACAAAACAACCCTAATATTTTTCCTCTGTCCTTTCTTTACATGTACACCTGGTACCTCCTGAAGTTTCGCCTCCAGTATAATGTTAGTAATAGCATATGAAGGCTTTACATTTGTTTAATTACTGTGTGAGAACTTTTATATCCAGGCTTCACTGAAATATATTGTGATCGATTTCCAAGTGCTTGCTACTGCAACAGCTGTACATTTGCTGATGATGCTTTGTGACGTTGAGCTCTTATACCAGAGACAGCAGTTTATGTAATAACTCAACTTGAATGTAGAGAAGTGCAGTGAATTATGGTTCATCACTTTTCTCATTTTATAGATAATGAGAATGTTCTAGAAGCTCTAATTGCAGAAAACTCTGGGATGAAGACTAAACTGAAAGACGTGGGAACACCACCAAGGTAATAAAAAAAGCTAAACAAGCTGCTGGGTTTTCTTTCTTGGTAAGATTTAAGTTGCTTTGTTTGTGCAGTGTGACTTACATGCATTTCAGGTCACTGTCAAAGGGAGGCGTCTCAAAACCTTGTACACCCTCTGACTCTGTGAAAGGACTGGAAGAAATGCGTGCTCAGTACATTAAAGCTGTGAGCAAGATTAAGTGTAAGTACTGAAGTCTTAGCTAAAAAGTTAGGAGAGCAAAATAATTTACTTTGTCACTTCCTCCTTCTTCAGCCAACTTGCACAGGAATCTGACAGCCAAATTGTATGAGAAGTAAATTTTTCCCTCTTACTAGAGTGGATGTGAAAAATGGAATTGTCACCATAATCTTAGACAAGATTAACTGCGATGGGTGAAGCCTTGTTATGCCACCCTTGTTTTGTCGCACTGTATTATGTCTTGTAAAGTAGTGAAGTGTATTTTGAGAACTGATCTTGTTTCTCCAGCAAACAATCCATCTACCCTGCAACTTGTTCTGAAAGAGAACCTCCTTTTCTCTTCTCCTATATCCTGCCATCTGTCTTGATCAGCAGCCTTCTGGCTGAAGAGAGAGGGTTAAGTGTAACACTGGGCCTTATTTGAATGCAGCAGGTCGCCAAAGCCAGCTACACTGCCACTGAGGAATTCCTAGATCCACATTTTACCAGCCAACATTCCTCCCAAATCCCTGTGCTTAGTGTTTGCTATTGCTGCTTAAGATGCAGAATCAGACAACTGAATTCCTGTCTGATGCTTCATATTGACCCACTGTGGTCTTTGGTGGCATTAATCCAGTAGGCAACACTTGGCACAGGGATTTGGGTGGAATGTTGGCAGGTAAATTCAGGGTTTTGCTGACTTGCTCCAGGTCTGCTAGACAATCTCAGGTTGTGGTACTGGCTTTTTACCTCTCTGGGGGAAAACTGCTACTAATTAATTGTGTTTCTAGGTGATATGCTTTGTTATATCCGTGAAAGTAAGGAGCGAGCTGCTGAAATGATCAAAGTGGAGGTCTTAAGAGAGCGCCAAGAGACGGCAAGGAAAATGCACAAATGCTATTTGACATGCCTTCAAGAACTGCTTGCTGATAATGGGAAACATGAAGGGTACGTTAAAGTATGTTTGGAAATTACTGTTGGCTTTGAAAGAGGTGTGTCGGAGCAAATGGTGTCTGACCTAAAGTCTTGCCAGTCTGCTCATATTGGCATGGGGTCACTGCTGAGCAGTCTGGCATACTGTCTTTTCAGTCTTTGACTCTTGCCAACATTACCTTGAAGTAAAATGCAGAGTTGAAAAGGAATTACCCTTAAACTTTAATTTTTTTTTCATGTTCTGCAATTCTTGGCAGAGCTGAAAAGAAAATAATGAATGCTGCCAGCAAGCTTGCTACAATGGCTAAAGGACTTGAAATGCCTCTTCGACACATTCCCCAGAGCAAATCTACCCGGTCAGGTATGTTGGATTCTGTAGTTGTTCTCTTCTTGATCTTATTGATTTAATGCATGTAGTAATGAAAATGCAGATGCAAAGTGAAGTACTATTTATTTATAAGCTTGCTAATGGAAATGTCAGTATAAGCTGCTTGTTTTGACAGCACTTATAATTCTTTATTAAAAACGAACAGAAGAACTTTATTTTCTGGCATTAATCTTTCTTTTAATTAATCTATTTCCTTCCCTCCTCTCGTAGCTCTGCTGTTAAATTCTGATCTGCCACCTGGAGCTGAGTACACAAAAAGAGATCGCGTGCTTCAGGCTAGGTCAAACCATATGGAAAGCAAATCATGTGGCGAAAGCATTACCGAAAAAGCCGGTGATAAAGTTGTCCAGAAACGTGTACCACATGACTTGAGACAGCAGTTTGATGCAGTGCAGGCTGAAACTCAACATATGCTTCATGAAACAGTGACTTCAAATACTCAAAATGGGAATAATTCTAAAAATCTGGATGGTGCTTCAAGAGATGCTGTGCCAGAGTTTTATTCAAATGAAGATGGAAGAAGAGAAAAATATGGCCCCGTTGTAAATGCAGACAAAGGACTCCTATGTGCTGCTAGTAATATAGCACATCAGAGTGCTTCTCCATCTGCTTTTCAAGTAATGTTAGAAAACACGCATGCACCAAGCTTTACAAATGGCCATACCATCTCTGGGCCAACTCATATGCTTAAGAGCAAGGGTGAAAGAACGGTCTTGAAAGAGGATAAATGTATCCAGTCGTACGGAAAATGGAAAACTAAATCTAAAAGAACTCAGAAATTTGATTTCCGAGAAACTCCAGAAAGAGATGAAGGAAGCCGCAGTGAATGTAGTTCTGTGAACGGAAGCCTTGATTGTAGTGATACACCTTTCTTGTATCCTGAACAAAAAGCCAGTGCTAATGCGCACACACAAACTGCACACTGTGAGGAGTTTCCTCACATGAGGTCATTTTCTCCTGTAGATGAAAGTGTTACTTCTTGGAGAGACATTTCTACTGGCAATGGCAAGATTCTCAGCACAAAAAGCCGCGTTAAAGTTTCCAGTAGAGGCCACCTGACAACTAACCCAGAACATTCTTCATTCCTCAACTCTGACAAATCGAATTCCACTGTCACACAATTCAATATGTTGCAGGATTCAAATGCAGGAAAAGGCTGCAACAAATGCATGGAAAAAAGCGCAGTGGAATCTACAGTCTCTTCAGCAAGATAATGTTTTTGATGTCCCACTTTATAACCTAAACCACAAGCAGCAATTCCTCCTTTGGAGGAGGAAAAAGATAAGGATTTTTTAAAATAAAAGTGTGAGGATTGGGGAAAACCGGTTCTACTGTGTCCATTTTGTGATCAATGTTACATAATTTGAAGAAACGCTATAAAGTTACTTGAAATATTAATGCAGACTTTTGTTTACCTTTGTAATAACAGTTTGATTTTTATAGTGTATTATATGCAAATTTATTAAATAGAGTCTATTTTTATAGTAAGTTTTGCTTGCAGCGCAGTGTTTATCTAAAACAGAGGTACTGTAACTTGTGGTAGTCTTTTTAAATGGTTATGAAAATTACTTCACAGCTCAATGAGAGATGTTCTAGGATTTAAGTCAGTATTTTAATTGACTTTCCCATTTTGAAGGACCCCCCCCTAAGCCTCTGTGTGTGTGTCCTGATAATAAAAGCAACCCTACTTGCATTTTTTCATTATAATAACAAATCACATTTCAAGTATTTTTCCCTCTGGTACAGCAACAAGTAGCTGATACTGGGCAGAAGAAAGGTATAAATTAGAATAACCACATTTGGCAGGTGTTCCTTAAATAGCATCGGTTATCAATGAAGATTCAGCAATGCTTAGAAATTTCTGTTTTTAAAGGCCTGCTCATGTCTTGAAGAGAACTCTAAAATGCATTGTTTTCCTCTAGACTATTTACTTTCCTTGGGATAGCATTTCATTTCTAGTACTCCTGTGAGGAAGAGGTGGTTTGCTGCTTGTTTATGCAGGATATGATTAAATCATACCTGTTGCAATTAAAAGTCTGGTTATGGGCCAGCAGTTCACATCAGCAGTAATACAGAAGATGTAAGCAAAAAGGTTTTGCTTGCTATTCTTTGATGATAGAAGAAGAAAAAAGACTGAATATTCTCTCTGATGATGTATATACCTCTCATACGTAATATTTAACTGCCATAAGGATACTCATTTGGTCTTTGAGTTGAACAGCACAGTTTCATCTGAGAATCTTTTGGGTTTTAAGAGGAAAATAGTACAAGATTCAAGAGAAAGCTTCTGAAGAAAAATGTGTTTAACTTCCTTTACAGAAACATCCTGCATGTTTATATCTCAGGCCAACTGGCAAGGCAGGATGCATTACAGCTCTTGGTACGCAGGACTGGTTTGTGACTTGAGACTCTCTTGGGTGAGCTAATGAGAGACTTCTGAATTTCTTGGTGGCCTTTAAAGTTGCCCATAAATCCAACCCCGTTTCCTCTTTAGTGAAGGTGGGGTTTGTCATCATCAGTGGGAGCAAACCAAACCATGAGAGACTGCTTGTGCCTAAACAAACATGGGCAGTGGTTAAGTTCAAGGGCCAAATTCCGAGCTCTTAGCTGAGGAAATAGCTGTGGCCTTGTCTGCAGAGGAAAGTTTTTACTAGTTGTCCTCTAAGCCCCATGTGGAGATATTTTTTTCAATGATGAGTGGCTTTTTTGGGTTAGCTTAAGCATTTTTCCCCAAATTGCACAAGGTAAAGAAGCAGCACATTTATTCCTGCATGAGAGGTACTTGTACAAGTGTTTAAACCAATACACCACATTAATTCACTCCTTGGGCAAGTCCAGAAACCTTACCCAGATGAAGAAAGCTTGCGTCTGTAAAACTAAACATCCAACTCCTCAGTGTGGACCAAACCTACTTTTCCAAGTAATCCTTCATCTGTGGTGTGGTCAAGAGCTGCTCTGTAGTTGCTCCCCAAAAAGCCACACTCCGTGCCACTGTGCAGAACACTTTGTGATTTCTGTCATCTTGTTCAATGTTGTTTGTGTGCAGAACTGTCAGTTCTCTAGCTTTAAGAAAATTTCCTGTGTTTGAAAGCTGAGTGGTTTTAGTGCATATGAAGTACTTTAATAACTCTAGTCCTGCTAAAGCTTTGAACAGCTGATGATTTTTATGTATTTAATTTAGAAGCTGGGGTTCCACAGTGATGAGAAGGGATCTTCCTCTTTACTGACTGCTCTGAAGAAAGCCAAGGGTGCAGCAGATCCCAGCTACAGTGAGGAAACGAGGGAGTTTTCTTCAGCAGCTCCATAACCTGATGTGAGCAAAGGTTCTCTTGTGAGGGTTCCTACTCTTATAGAGCAGGAAGATGTTATGCACATGTGGCAAAAGAGGGAGGAAGGGGGAAATCTTTCCAATCCCAGCTACTAAAAGGGAGAGTATTTAAATATAGACATTAGGTGCCCAACTACATTTGGTTGCTATTTCAGTTGTATCTTACTGCATCACCATGCCAGGGAACTTCAGTGACTAAAACTGCAGTGCATGTGAGAAGGTGGATGTGGGTAGAGGTTCAGTTAAATTGTTGCTTGCCTAACGTTTATTGTGTGTCTTGTTGCACTGACAACTCCAGAGAGCTCCAGACCTGCCAAGTTTTCCTTAATGAGAATCTACTGCAGAAGCCTGGAGGAAAGATCCATACCCAAACAGCAGCAATTATTCCCTGGTGAGTAAAGTCTGAGGAACAAGAAGATATTTAGCCCAAGAATTAACAATTACTCAAAAGCATTCCTTAGCCCTCTTTCCAATGTCAGCAGGAAAAAATGAAGCAATAACAGGCTAGCATAAGGGGTGGCAACTCCTGAAATTGGACAGCTGACATCAGTCGGAAAGGGGGATGTAGTTTTGCAATATATGTAGTTGGACTTGCATAGTTGAGCCAGTATTGTAACAGAGCCACTAGATGAGTCTCTTGCAGTAAATTTGCCGTGGTTTTTCACCCACTAGGTTATACTGCTGAAAGAACTTACGTGTTTTAGTCAAGAATTCATTACCTGCTCTCATGTCTTTTTGATTCAGGTAATTCCCTGCTTTAATACTGCATTTATGCTGTAGGAGCCAGATCTAATTTCATGCTAGTGATGTTGCAGATTAGCTTAAACATTGTTTAACCACACCCCAGGTCCATCCTCAAAGTAGCAGAATGCAGCAGTATTCTTTCCTTGATGTATCTTTATTTGCTTCAGCTGATTTATCTATGTCTGTACATTCCTCTTCGTGAAAATGTGTCAGTACTTTGTACTAAAATATGATAGAACGACTTTTGAATTACTTTTTAATGCTATATTTAAATGGTAATTTTAAGAACATCTTTTATAAACATGTTATGTACAATTAGCTTTATGTGTGACGTACAGAACAGGAATGCGCATGATTTAAGTCATGCATGTTTTGAGCAATGAATATGTTAACTGTTGGTTAACAGATGCTAATGTTTTAGCTTCTCTCTTCGGTGGCATCTTTCAGCTGGAAAGAGCAGCACCTGTATCTGTTAATGAAGAAAATTAAGAAGAGGTCTTACATAAACTGATTTCTCACATTCTTTATTTCTGGTAAACATATGCACATCTGAAACCTTGTCTCGTATCACAGCAACTTGCTGTGCACATGAACAGTTACATGAGTAGGAACTGAGGCCATAGGAGTTAGTTGGCTTGTTCACACAGTTAGGAAGCCTGAATGGGGAATTAAACCCGGGTTTTTCTAGTACTTTTGAGCTTACTGTTGATTTAAGAGGTGGGTGTGGATCTCCCCATCCTCTTCAGTCGTTGCTGGTAGGAAATTGGTTCATTTGTATGTATCCCGTCAGCCTGAGATACTGTTTTTTTCTTGTGTTATCTGGTTCATCATGTTATATGATATTAATGAATTAGAATTTACATATCATCATAGGTCTTTTACAGGTCTTTTCCACCTTTACCTTTATAAGAAAGTCATACAGTCTGTTTTCCTCCTGCAAGGCAGAATCACCAGTGCTGATGTTAGTCCTAGTGAATGTTTGTCCAATGTGTTCTGAAAGGTCCAATAAACAGAGGCTCTACAACTGCCAAGACAAATCCATTGCAGTATTATCCTTACTGATGGAAGGCTGCTTCCCCATTCCCTTTGTGTCTTACCTGAACTCTTCTGCTGCAACTTAAGCTCATTACTGCTTCTCCAGTGTACCAAGGACATGAAATAGGGATTTCTTTTATGTCATGCTTAAAAATTACTATTCTCCTCTTCAGTTTTCTTTTGCTTAGGTAAAACCATTGCTTTCATTCTTTTTTCCATGCATCAGCTTTTAAGATGCATAGGTCTCTTGTGGCATGCAAATATGGAACTAGTCCAAAGGACACCAAATGATAAATGAAAAAAAATTAGATCCAACACTCATGGTCCTACTATGCTTCATCATTTCCAGACTGGTTCAACCGGTTGTCCATTCTTCTGCACAACTACTACAGTCTTTGCAAAACACCCTATCTGTTGTTGTAAAAGCCTTTCAAGACTGATGTGATTAAATCCAGCTTCCCCAAGCATAATCTGTGGAGATGCAGCTAAGGAGAGCTCTGGCTTGCTTACCAGACTTTCCTTAACGCCTTTGGAATGTCATATCTTATTATCCCCTTACCTCTTACTTTACTTTGTAGTTGGTACTGTCCAGTGAAGTTTGGAGATCTACTTACCACTGTATAGTGTCCCTTTTCCCATAAAATCTCAAGCTGGGTATGCTTCCCAGAAGTATTAAGATACACAGTGGCATATATATATTTCAGTCATTTGTCCTTAAAATTTACTGTCAAAGCCATTCTTCTGCTGTTGGAACTGTGTTCTCATGTTTCCCTTTGTTCTGTGGGAGTTGCTAAGATTTCCCATTGAAATTTATTTTAAATGTTTGCTCTTTTGTGCAGATTCACTGCACAGTCTTGTCTCCCACAGTGTTAGATGGGTTACAATGGAGATGATGGTAACCTGGCAGTGATACAGGAGCACATTACTTGCAGCTGTAGTGAGATTTCACCCAGCATTCTGATGCAGAGTACTTCACACTTCCAAATTAATCATGCTTTTCTCTCTGTTCTTGTTGCTTGGGTAAGTATTTCACTGTTGTGTAAACCTGGGCAGTGATCTATGTGAGAACCAGGGTTCTTATTCTCCTTCCTCTTGTACATACTTACCTACCAAGCAAGCTTTTAAGCCTGGTGCGTTTTTCACACTTGATAAAATGAGTCTGTTTCCATCATGTAGTGTTGTTTCTTTATAAATCTCAATACAAGTAAAGAAATTCATGTCTATTGCCAAATGTTCTGGCTGAATGCCACCCCTGGTGTTCTGGCTTCATCCAGATGATGAATGTTCCCTGTCAGCCTGCAGCCTAGTGAGAGGGGACAATGGTACAGAAATATTATAATTATCTAATCAACTTTGCTTAGAATGTTAAGCAAATGCAATTCTTTAATACTCTGGTTTTACTATAGCTGTTAATTAACATGTGCAAATATAATTTGTATAGCAAAACCAAGTAGAAGAAACATTCACTTTTAAGTTACTTTACTCCCCTCTAGTGGTCTTATGCCATATGTACTTTTATATAACACTTCATCACAATAGATTAATATTTATAAATTTATAAATAGTTAATATTCTGTAAAAAAAAAAAACAAAAACAGTTCTACCTCTCCTTCCTTCTTCCTTTCTTTGTATAGAGAAACCTGTTCAGTGACTGGGATTCTTGCCAATCTAACTCTCTAAACAATGCTGGTTTTTATGTATTGGCTTTAACTGAAGGCCACACTGCACCTACAGCTTTAAAGTCAGTATGTACAGGAAAATCTTAAAGCTGTGTAGTAAGCTTCTGTTTCCTGCGCCCTCAAATCTGTTCATGAGGGGTGTTACTGTCAATGTCATGGTGACTCAAACTGCAGCCGAGGCTGCAGAAACATCAGCAGAACTCGGTCACGTCTGTAGTGCTGCTCTATGTTTGTGCTGTGGGACATGCCAGTTTTGGTGCATGTCTAGCGCTGCCTGGGCCTGTGCAAGTTGTGGGACATATGGAGACTGTTGAATGACTGGGTTCCTCCTTTAAGCTTGCCAGTTGGCCATTTTGTGTAGGATGTGGCTTCCACTAGCTGGAAAATACATGAGAACCTACAGGATCAGAATGGAAACTTCTACTTTTCCAGTAATCCCCTGGTTCTTTGCTGAAGTTGCTGATGTTGTAATCAGTGCTATACAGGTGTGCAGCACAGGCTTAATTTAGCAATAGTTAATGGATAAGTGCTCATCTAAATTTTATTTTGCTTCTGTATTTTAAAGGTATGGAAATGACTTGCTAATACAGTGTCCTTGGAGAAGATGAGGTATCTCATAAGATGCTTGTCTCTTCTTTTTCTGCTCAGAGAGATTATATTAAGGAAAATGTAGTTAGAGGATTCAGTTTTCAGTAGCTAGCTCCTCTTTTCAAACTATTCCCTTGTAACTTTTCCATTTTCTTCTAGAATGTCTTGGACTAATGTTTGGAAGAAAAGAAAGGGGAGTAAAAGGGATCAATAAAGAAAATGTTGACAATTTTCCATTTGAAAATACAGTTCTCTTAAAACAGTTCACAAAATTGTGTTTGTCTTCATATTCAGTTATGGAAGAAAAATGAAAGCGTTCCAAGAATCAAAACATTTTAACACTATTTGAGTGAAACCTTTTGTTTTAAAGTGAGTCTTCGTTTGTAAACTTTTGCAACTCTAAAAAGTCAAAATTGAAATGAAACAGTTTAGGAGATCCAAACCTGGCCTTTTTTCCGCATGATTTTTTCTTTTGTGGAAAACTGAAGTATCTCAGTTTCCAAGCTGGAAGGAAACCAAATGTGAAAAGTAAAATCCTTCATAAAACGTAACTCCTGTCTTCCTGCTGTACTCTTATGAGAGATTATTTGCCGGTGTCAGTGATGCATGTTATAATAACCAATAGCTGGGGAAACTATTTGCTACGCTTCTCAAGATTGTTCCCTTTAGGTCATTAGCAGATAGTTCTAATAAACATGAGCTGAGCCAGTAGAGGCTTTGACTCTATTTATCACTGTGGATGTCTGAGCAGTCCCTGTGGGAAGTTGTGACCAATTCATCAGCCAGGGAGTTTAACTTGTTCTTAACTCTTCTCTCGAGCAGCAGTGTCAACAGTCCAACTAAATCAAAATCATTCATGTGTACTTATATAGGAAGTGTGTAAGATATATAATGTTGAAATAAAATTGTGTGCAGCTGTAAGAAGCACACAAGGAGGCAGCTGATGCAGAAGTTTCTTTACTCAAACAAGCTGGCAGGGCCTGCCTTTGGGAATGCATGTGCCTGGGTAGGGAAGGATCCGCTGCTGCTTGGGGCATGCTACCTGACATTGGGCAATTCTGTAGGCAGGCCTGCCCGAGCTCTGCTGTTCCAGCACTGCAGTGAGGGCACTGCCTCCCCCACCTTGCCCCTTACAATTATTCTCATCCCTTTTTGTGGTTCCAGAAGACTGAAACTTGACAAGGAAATCAGAACTTAAAAATGCAAGTGATCATGTAAAAAAGCTGTAAGATCTGGTTATGGTGAATGAAGTCCTGGAGTCATCCTAGAGACGGACAACTTAATGCAAATGTTTCTGCCTTGCTGTCAGAGCGTCTTTCCACCACTGCTGCTGTTTGCCTAGACCTGGTGTCGAATGGCATTGTCTAATTGGAGCTTGCTTTCTGTGCTTTTAGTATAGTGCAATAGGGCCACAGCCTCACTTGGGGTTTCTGAGAGCTTCTGGAGTATGAGCAACCTCATAAATTAAATCACCACACTGTCTGCTGAATGCTTTCTTGCAGAAGTGCTGGCAACTGTGGAACATATTTTGCTGATCATCTGAGGATCAGCAACTTCTACACCTGGCAGCTGTCAGACAGCATTTTCTTGAAGCAGGGCTGTCTGCTGATAGCTCAGGAGTAGGGCTGAGCAGTGCAGCCTTGGGTAGGTTTATCGCTGGGATTTGCAGATTAACACACTTTTGTACTTCCCAGCATCTTCCCTGGCTACATCCCACTTTCATTCTACATAAGTGGAAGAAGTTCCTTAGACTTTCTTTCTACCCTGGTCCTTCAATCACAGTTAACAGAATACAGAATTTAGTTCCATATGTGTTAGAAAAGCTCTCTTCTCCAGGGATTTGATTAAGCACAGGGCTAACCTGTCCCATATTATGGGTTTAGCCAGTGGCATAAATGATAATGTTTGGCTTTTTTTACATATGTTTAATCCCCCTCTCCCCTTTTCCTTTTTTCCTTGCAGATGCTATTATACAGGTTTTGACTGCAGGAAGAGGTAGGACAGCTTGTGAAACAAACCTGTCAAAGTGAGGTAAGTAGCTACCAGGGTTCCTTCAGTCAGCTTACCTTTAAAATGCAGTTTATGATACCACTGGTGGGGAGGGGGAAAAGTGGAAAAGGCTAATAAGATTTCAAATACTGAGATGCCCTCAAAAAGCAACATTTTCTAGGATTCCATGGGGAATGACCATTGCCAGCACGTGCATGTCAGTGACATGCTGAACTGATACAATAGCACAGTTGTTCTTACGACACATTTAGCTCTGAATTTGTCAGTGTTGAGCATGTGTATTAGAGCATGATACATATGCGAATTCTAAAAACATTTTTACAAGTTGGAGTAAATTCAAAAAGCAATAATTCCTTGTTTTACACAACGCTGCCAAGAATTCTCTTTGTATTTTCATTGTGCAGGACTGAATATTTAGTCAGCAACACTGCACAGACTTGTTGCTGTTCTGCTGTTTGTGACAAAAACTCAGGCAGGTAAATAGCCTTGTGTATGGACCAGAGAATGGAGAGGACCACATATTTTGAAAAGGAGGAAAGACATGTTTGCCAATTGTGTAGAAGTAATTGTTTCTGGTTCTCCATAATGCATTAGAATTCAAGTAATATTCTATTTTCAGAAACTTCACTGCTCTAACTTAGCTTAACTGATGGAACAGTGTTCACCACAGTGAAGTCAGGGCATGCTCTCAAGTCCACTGAAATAAGTGGAAGGGAAAAAAATTATCTCAAGTCTTTGGACTAGGTTTGTAATGCCAAAGGAAGCTTCTCCAGATCACTGCAGTGCAGGGAAGCTCTGTTTTCCCAATAGTTTATCATAAAATGTGTCCAGACTGGAGCCTCTGGAAGACTTCCTTATCTTGAAAAGGCAGCATGAATCTTATTTACATCGCCCGCTGTTTCATCCATGAAATTAGACTTCCTTCCTTTTACTGATGAACAGGAGTGGGAAAAGTCAGCCTTACTATATATCCAAATTTCTATAGACAGATAGATATAGATGTCTTTTTTTCCCAAGCATCTCCTGCCCATGAGTATTTTTCCTTGGCTCTCCCTTGCGGGTGTCAGATGACATTTCCTCTGCTGACTGTGTGCCTGTTCGACCTCTGCTCTTATTCGTCTCCAGTTATGTGGTATTATTTTTGGTCTTGAAGGGAGTTCACAAAGCTAAAACCAGTGCTCAACATTTTCATTTAAGCTTTGTGAAGTGTCAAAACCTGCCCCTTTAAAAAAGAAATGCAGCAAGCCAATCTCTTCTGAACTCCACCCCATTCATCACAGTAATAGCAATTTTGGGTGGATCTGGTGTTGATAACTTGCAAACCATTAGGGATGTTTTAGAGGCAGTATTAAGGAAAAAAAGCTTTAAAGGTTATTATTTTTTTCAGTGCTAGAATTGCTTCCCCCATTTAAACCTTAATCTGATTAATCTGTACTGGAAACACTGGTAAAAGTTACATTTCTCACATTTCAAGTGTTCTACATTATAAATTACCATTATATCTTAATTCTCTTTGTAGGGAAGAAAAAAAGGGTTTCCAAAAACCCCAAACCACAAAAATATACAGAGCTTTCTTCCTGACCCTTCTCATTCCCACTTTGAGCCACAGTATTTGGAATCTATTGCTACTTCCTACTCAAATAGCTTCCTTAACTTCATTTGGTTACTTGTAAAATGTGTTTGAATTAGCTATAGTTGTTATTTCCTGTTTTCTTATAAAGAAAGGCAATGTGATTATTTGCATTATACATATGCTTTATAACTATCTGTTTTAGGATGCAATCAGCTTGCTGTGGGTTAAGCCAATACAGAAATGAGAAAGGGCTAATTATGAAACAAAGTTAATGGGAAGTTTCCTACTGACTTTTGTGGGCTGAATATACCCAAATAACAATACTGGAAGTGCAAGATGTAATATAGAAAGATAAATGCATTATTAAATGGATCATGTTCTATCCAGCGTGGTGTATAAAAGACCTTGCATCTGATGGCCATTTAGAGGCAAGATGACTGGCTGCTGAAACTTACTTATGAACCTGATAAAGCAACGCCCCAGTGATTCTCATAAGTAAATTCTAATGCTTTCAACAGATGGGGTGGGGGAATCCCAAATGATTTTATACCCGGTAAGAAATTGCAGACTTTAGATGAGGTTGTCTCAATTTACTGGTATCTAGAAAACCTGAGGAAATGAAGTCAGCCTTTGGAAAGTTACTAATAAAGGAAAGTGCAGAGCAGAGCCGTACTGAACTATTCACTGGCTGGAGACTCACTACTACCATTTCTGAGTCAGCTGCATGCCCTTGCAGTGAGGGTGGCCAACTGCATATGGGGCTGTATTAGTGGCAGTGTAACCAGGCAGTGGAGGGAAGCTGTTCTTCCCCTCCTTTGGTACTTGAGAAACTGTATCTGCAGTACTGTATGCAGCTCTGGGCACCAACATACAAGAACAGAATTCAACCAAACCAAAACAAAAACCCCACTCCTAAACCCCAAAAGCATTGACATCTACAGCAAGACTGGCAGAGAGCCCCTGGGATGGTTAGGGGCTACAGCAATGCTTTCTGAGAAGAGGGTTCATTCAAACTTAGGAAGCAAAGGCTAAGGAGGATCTTACTGCTGCCTTCAGGGTATAGAGGAGGTAGAGGCTGCCTCTCCTGGATAGTGAGCAGTGGTAGGATGAGAGGCACCGGCACAAATTCTAAGAAGGAAAATTCCTACTAAGTATTAAGCAAAAATAATCACAATGAGGGTTGTAAAACAGTGGAATAGGTTAGTCCAGAAAAGTGGAATGTTCATTCTTGGAGATATTCAGAACTCAGCTGGATAGGACCTGAACAGCCTACTCTTAAGTTGGTCCTGCTCTGAGCAGGGGACTGGACCAAATAACCTCTACAAGTCCCTTCTGACCTAAATTCATCACTGATTCTATGACAGCCGTATGCAATGCTCTCATAGTGTTATTTCTCAAAGGAAAGGCCTTGCAAATGGAATGTGGTGGGTTCAGAGTCTAATCCCTGGTCTCTTTTTATCTTTTTTATTATTTCAACTGCATCATGGGGCAACTCCCGATCAACTGAGACATCTCATAGCCAGAGGAACACTGGGATGGAAAACAGAGGCAGAGACACCCAATCCCTTGCTGACACAGTGTTTGAAGGAATGTAGGGCCTGATTCAGCTCTCTTTGTTAGAGTCAGTAGGGAGTTCTGCATAAATGAGAGCTACAAGAAGAGGCTCCTAGTTACTGATTTCCACCCACTTGGAATGTATTAATGCTAATAAAAAGCTGTATCTCTTTTGCTTAGTATCTTAGCCTGAAAATTCACCCAGCAGCTGGCATTTCAGGCTAAGCCTTGAAATTTGTTTCACTTTGCTTCTGAGTTTACAGGTGGGATTTAAGAGGTCATCTGGGACAAATGTAAGACTGAGGAAACTCAGTTTGCAACTGTTACTCTGGCAAGATTCCCATTGAATTTGACAGGGTTATAGCTGACAGAACGTAGTAGTATATGTATTTCCCTTTCTTGCACTAAGGCTAGATTAATTTTTTCTTTTTAAATCAAAGAAGCAAGTGCTATTGTTAAACTTTAGGTTTTCCACCTGTATGCACATAATTAAATATATCAACCTATGTATTTTGATAGACTGGGATTAACAACAAAAAATCCATTCCAGTGTATTTTAGTTGTATTTCTGTTCAACACTAGCCTTACAAAAATCAGTTGTGCTTCCCCTTCCTGGAGGACAGAAGTCATAGGATTTCTTCTGCTTAAGTTTTCTTTAGGACCCCCATGGAGAAAACTATTAATGTAATCTCATGTCTTTAGTAAATTGAGATATAATACAACAGTTTTACCCTTACAAGCTAAGGATTGATTTAAAATGTGACTTAGTTTTAGAAACCAGCTATGAATATGGTACTTCCCTAAAAATAGTACTGAGGGTGTCTGAATTAGGGCATCTCTTGAATGGCCTTGTGCTTTCTTTGTCACCGATACTGAAGAATCCAGGTGTTTTAGAGGAGCAAGAACATCTGTTTTATTCTGATCTTAGAAAGGACAAATGAATTATTGTTTGACTTCTACAGCTTTTGGTGGGCTGATACCAAATTCACCTTGTTCTTGTAAATAAAGGAATTGCTTTGTTTAAAACAACACAAGTTCTGTGCCTAAACTATTCCATGCAGGCGTAAACAGGACAGATGTGTTATGAATGTGTATAAAATGTAATAGGTTTATGGTCACCTAGGATACAACTGAGATAAAATACAGGAATTTCCCCAGAAGCACATAGGCCACTAATTGTCTGAGCCAAGAGAGAGTTTTTAATTCTTATAATATTATAGAAACATCACGCCACCACTTTGCGCAGTATCACAAATGATGGAGTTATACGCTCATGTAGGTTGGATTTCCTCCTTCATCATTATAAGCTCAGCTGACAGATGAAAACATCAAATAAAACAATTTGTAAAAATGAAGTAAATGTCTTAAGTGAAGTTTGTCCCCTAAAAGCTATCGTTTATGGATTTCATAGCTAGTCTGGCCAACCAACGTTAATAAAAATGGGTGATAGCTTGTTTTATTTTCTATTTTTTATTTTTTTTTAGATTTCAACCAATTAATTGGTTGTCTGGCTATAATTACTGTTTGTGCTTTTTATGTACTTAAGAAAATACACGCACTAAAACTTTCCCACACTATTTGTTTTCATTGGCGTAATCAAGGCTTTCTTAATAAAGAAATATGGAAGATGGACATACTTATTTTTGCTTACTTGGGTTGGAGTAAATTTGCAGATCAAAAAATGCAATTAGTGAAAAAGTTCATAAAAATGGAAGTTAATGGAACTTCCAACTCCATCACAGTACCTCCAGGGATAATATTTCGGGGTTTGTTTGCAACGGTTCAAAGCAATTTGTCTAAACTGTGAAAATTCTGATAAGCGTCCTACAGGAGAAGAGGGAGGAATGTTTGCAGAAGATGAAAAGGACCAGCTTGGTAAAGGCCAGGAAGGAGGGAGACCAGTACTTCACATCACTGCTGCTGAACACAAAGATCATCAGCTCTGCAAACTTCAGCTCAATGGTTTTATGGGAATTGAAGAGCAGGACAAAGAGGTATTTCTCTGACAATCAGTTACAGTTTAATAATTTAACCACTTGCATAAAATGATTTGTGTACCTGATGTTGATAAGCACAGAGAGGTGCACTAAGACATAGCTAGCAAGGAGAATTTATTTTACCAGAGAAATGTACTGGGCTTGATATAAAGTGTGTGTGTGTGGTTATGTAAATGTTTAGGATCACGGCTTCCAAGTTCATACCTAACTGCAAAAGGTGGTTCATGTTTTATCTGTCATTCCCTGATAAGAGGAAACTACCTATAAGTATCCTCCCCTAATTTTTGGGCCCTGCCACCACAATCTATGCCATCTACATGCTCCAAGATACAGCTATAAGATCCTCAGTATCATCTGGTGAATCAGAATCAGAATTGTGGAAAAATTGTGGCTTAAGTGTTACAGCAAATTCCGCTATGCATGTAGCAGTGATGTTGTATGCCGTGTTCCTGGTGTCGTTTATTTCTGGGTGTGATTCCAGGGTTTGATGAAGGAGCTAAAATACCAAGGAGCTTCTGGATCTCAGTTAATCTGAGAGCTCATCTTTGTGTTTGTCATGGGAGATGGTGATCAACTGGGTCATCGAAATTGCTTCTTTGGGTTTTTTCTTCCCTTCAGTGAAACTTCTGAGTGGATGACAAGTGTTTTGAAGGCCATATAGGAATCTGTTTGTCCAGATGTTCTTCAGAGTCCAGATGTTTGCAAAGTCTCAAGTGGCTGTGGGAAAGCATGTGGATGACCCTTATTAGTAGCTCTGTTCAGCAGCAGAGAGCAGAAGTTGTTTTAAGTCTTTTGCTTGTGACAGTGTGTTCTTCTAGTGGTTTGAGAGCCCAGGTGGGTGCTATTTTAATGTTGTCAACAATTTAAGTACTTCTAATATATAAACATATACTTTAAACTGGAACAGCAGAAGTTGATGATGTGCTACATATTTCACTAGCTTAATTAACGGACAGCCCACATATCATGTAACATTATTTCATATAGCGTAATCCATATTTCTGCAACCATGCAAGATATCAAATAATATGTCATAAAATGTCCTAAAAGATATGAGAGAATCATCCCATTAACCTGTGACATAGACTGGATATTTTTCTGGTAGCTCATCCAGAAAACTAAAGCGGTTGAAACAGAAACTGTCGACACTAAAAGAATGTTTGAGTAAATAGTAACGCAGAATTCCTTTCATAACTCGCTTTTGTTTACTGCTAAATTCTATCTTCACATCATAAACATAATTAATTAGTAAACATCCAGCAGCATTTTTTTGCAGTGGCTTGGTTTGAACATATTTACCTTCTACATTTACTAAATAAATGTTTAGATTTTGCTGTACATATAGGTAAGAGTGAAGGAAGAGAATTGTATATCAATGTACAGCATGTCTGAGATTTCTTAATAGCAGGGGCAGTTGCTACCACCTTTATCCTGGTCTCTTTTAGTTTCTGAGCAATTTTAATTTGCCACTGCAAAAGAAATACAAAATCCTTTGTCCAATGCTAGGTTGTCTCTTCAACAAGCATAAGCAGAGAAAAAATAGTTCCTATCTGTGGTAGACAAACAAGAAAAACTGAAAAATCAAACTACTCCTTTCTTTTGCCAGTATCTCATAGTATTTCACTGTACATCTATGTTTCACCTGTATATTAAGTGTCTGTCTGGAAGTTTTCAGATTAAATTCTTGAATGGTGCCATTGGAATGGTCAAATGGACTGTTTTGTAATTTGCAGAATCCACCACTTTGCTTGATGATAAAAATCAGCCAAAATTATTAGACTGCTGTTACTGTGCTGATCACACACAAATACAGCATCTCCTGTACTAGTTTAAATACTTCTATGTACCTTTAGAAGGATAATGCATATTTACACACAATATAAAAACTACTGTAATTGATTTAACTATGTATTTCAAGTAGCATCTGTCACATTTTGTGTCAATGTTACATTTCAGCTGTAAACACAGATTGGTACTAGGAAATCTTACATGGTGCTTCCTTTTTTTTCCCCTCATACTGAGTTAGTGGTTCACATTACACCATGCATTTATCTTTGGGCAAGGTGGTTTGGAAGCTGCTGTGCATGGGTGGTCAGCTGCCTGCTCATAAAACTGTGCAGCTGAATTCAATAACGCAGTCCCCTTCACTATCAGAACCTGCCTGAAAGTAACAGAAATGAGAATACCTGCACATTAGGAAATCCAGCATTTCTGCCAAAATATTTGTAAGTGAGGAGCAGCAGAATGCATTTCTCTTTTCAGTTTAATAGGCTTGCTTTTTTGGTTTTGTACTCTCTGTGTATATTGAAATGGGATAATCCTAGTACAGAGCTACTTGCCTGGAGTATATACTCTCTGTTTGATTTCTAATTACTGACTGTCTTCTCCTCACCCCAAATTATTCAAGTATAAAACTTCCTACCTTTCAAGGGGTGGGATAGCAACTTGCTCTTCAGGATTTCCAAATCACTCCAAAAGCATAAGTAAAAACTGCAGGGCTTTTTTTTTTCTTGTTTGTTTTCCTTACTAAGAAAGAGGCATGCATTTGTTCTGGAGCTGGCTGTAGGGATTTAAAAGTAGGTACGGAACAGCTCAGTGCCTTGGTGTCTGCGCCATACTAGTTCCTAGAAAGTGTATTCTTCATCCTGCAGCAGCCTCTAAGGTAAAGCCAACATCGCTGCTGTTTCTCCTTATAAGGGAAACAGATACTATTCTGGTTTTTATTTAAGCCGTTATCTAGATGCGAAATGTTGCACCTTTAGGGCTTGTGTATATACGTATGTAGACGGAGGCATAGGAGTCCACCTCCCTCAGCTCCCCGCCGGTCCTGTGTTACGCGCTTACTCCGCTGCTCAGCCCACAGCGCTACCGCTTCTGCCTCCGCGGGCGCCGGGAACCCGCGGGGCGCCCGAGCAGGCGGCGCTGCCCGGCCGCAGCGTTCCCCTCACCCCCGGGCAGGAGCGCGGCTCCCTGCGTGCCCCTCGGGCAGCGCATCCCTGCCCGACCACAGGTGACCGGCTGCGGGGCTCACAGGGCCCTCCCGCCGCATCCGCCGCGCGGGCACGGCTCGGACCCCCAGGACGGCGGGTCGGGGGTGGGGGGAACGTTTTTATTCACCTCTCTCTCGCGAGAAAGTGCTGCATGGGCGATACTTGAAGAGGAGGGGGGGAGAGAGGAGGGGAAAAAGGAGGAGGAGAAGGAGGGAGGGAGGGGGCAGCTGGAGCCGCAGCTGGAGTAGCGGTGGGTGCAGCGGCCGCAGCTGGAACAGCAGCGGGAACGGCAGCCGGCGGCGGCGGCTCCAGCGGGTGCGCGCCCCTCGCAGCGGGCTTCACCGGGGCGGGCGGGCTGGGCGCGGGGCTCCCTGCCCGCGGCGCGCCCCGGCCGGGCACTGCGCTCCTGCCGCCGCGGCTCGCAGCGGTGCCCGGCTCGGGGAGCCGGGGAGGGCTCATGCCCGGGAGGTGCTTCCAGCCCCGGAGCGGCTCCGGGAGCGGTGACGGCTGCCGCGGGCTGCCCGCTGCGGGAGCGGGAGTCCCCGCGGATGCTGTTGGAGGGAAGGTAGAGTCCGCGCGGCTCCGGGCAGCCCCTCGCCATCTCCCGCGGCCGCCGCCTCCCGCCGGCCGGGCTAGCGCCGGGCTGGCCGGGGGCCGACGGCGCCGGGGCGCGGGGGCAGGCGCCGGGGGGCGCGGAGCGGCCGCGCCCGCTTTTTCTCGGTCCCTAACTCCCCCCCTTTCTTCCCTTTTATCCCCTTGCAGCTCGCCTTGGAGAGGCTGGTCGGAGACAGGGCGGCGGGGACCGGCGCACTTCGGCGGCGGAGAGGAGGCGGCGGCCGGTCGCAGCCCGAGGACTCGGGGGACGCGATGTGGCGGGGTCGCCTGCTGGGGATCGCCCTGGGAGTTGCCGTGCTGTGGATGTCCCAGGCGGGCGCCGCCGCCGCCGGGCACGCCGAGGGGGTGAGCAGCGCCAAGGAGAGCAGGGCCAGCCGGGCCAAGAGGCGAGGGCAGGGCGGCGGCGGGCACGACGCGCTCAAAGGGTAAGTGCGGGGCCGGCCCTCCCGGGGTGCGCGGTGCGGGGAGCCGCGTAGAGCTGTATGTGTGTGTGTCCGTGAGTCCATGTCCACTGCCCCTTTGCGGTGGGACCTGGCGGGGGAGAGCTCCCCGATCCCCCGTTGGGGCTGCCCCTGCCGAGGGACAGGGTGCGTTGGGGGCGCCGGCGCTGCCCGCAGCATCCCGCGGGGCTGAGTCCCCTGCGTGCTGCAGCCTTACTTCGCCTTTGGCGGGTGATGCTTGGAGAGGATAAGCCGCTGCAGCTCGGAGGTTGCAAATTTAGTTTCTAGGAAGGCCGTAGCTAAAGGCACACTGCGGGTGTGTGCATTCCTCCCGCGTCCCGTACTTCTGCTTTGCATAAAGCAGAATAGCGATGAGGCCCGGAGACCACAGCGTGCCCTTTCCATTAGCTGCCCTCTTCCATCACCACTTTAAACTTTTTGAGATGTGCATCTTTCCTGCACTCAAGCGGACCGACTTTGCTTATTTGGTGTTGCTTGTGACCTGGGGAAATCAGAGGGGAAGAAGAAGGACCTTTTTTTTTTTTTGTATCAGAGCTATCTACAGGCATATAAAAGTTTAAAATCATTATGACACGTTGTATATACTTAGTAAATTGTTTCTTTTTAAAGGGTAAATCTGTATCAGGCGAACTTTTCCCAGTTCTAATGGAACACCTTTCCAATGCAAAAATATGTTTTTAAGTTGGCTGAAAGACATTGCATGCGTGTGCAGTTGAAAATGTAGTTCTCTGTAAAGGTGAAAAGCTTGCAGTGTTGGCAGAAAAAAAGGGGGTTCCTATTTCAGGTGTTCCGATGCACCTTTTCAGCCCATAGCCAGATTTTTCAGTCATCAGGCAGAGGGCAGCTGTAGCAAACATGATATGGAGGTAGTTATCCTTCAGTAAGGGATGCAAGCTATTTTCTTTCTTTTTCTGGTTTCCTCAAAAAGGAGCTGTTATAACTTTATTGTTAGAGGCCTTGGTGTATATGCTTTAGTTTCTTTGTAACTTCCTCATACTTGTATAGTACTTTTTATTTATATTCAGAATTGCAATGTTGGCACTTTCTTATGCTTGCCTGATTGGAAAAGGCTGATTTTTTAGGTCACCATGTTGCAAAAAATGGATGCAAGCTCTTTTTTTTTTCCAAGGGTCTGATTTTGTAGGGTCAGATTCTGTATTTCATTTCCTTATACCTAGTCACAAGAGAAATACTGAACAAAGCAGATTCTTCTTGTGACAAAAACTAGGAGGTGAGGAGGATGTACAGTAAAGTTTGTAGGACTAATTGCAAACAGTAAAAGATGATAAGGAAAAATATTTCTCAGAAGGTGCCTTTATTTTATAGGATGTTTTAATAAACTTTCTCATTACAGAAAGTGAAAATCACCATTTTCTGACCAGTGGGACAGAGTATGCCAGCTAGCACATGTGTGCTGACTTAACGGACTTTGTGGGAGTTAGAGGCACATTAGCTGGGGATAAAGTGTCTTTGGTGAATGCAACTGTTGCTCTAAAACTGTGCTGTTTAGACAGTAGTAATAGTGCATGAAGAGGTGATGGTTCAAGTGTTAATTATTTTTGGAATCTAAAATGGATTAGTGTAAGTAGTTTGTCTTATGAGTTGATTCTTACGTTTAACAGAAGCCTTCCATATTTGTGTACTTTGCAATGATTTATTGTGTATTATCTATGAGTTACATATCTACTTAAAATTCTGCAAATCTAGGCATAATGGCAATATAAATTTTAAGTATTTTATATTTTAGCCAATAATTTTGAATATCACAAATCTGAAAGAGTGCCTTTGGGAAGCAGGTTCTTGACAAGGATATAATAATATACAGTAAAGACAAAACAAATTACTAGTTTGCTTACATGTTAGACCTTTTTCTGTAACTCTCATTTGAGGCTGAGGGTAGGGTTCCCAACTTGTTTGCCAGAGATCGTTAACACAGTCGTCTTGATCACTGTTGGGTGATGAATACTCCTGGATATTTCCAGTTTAGAAACACTTCCTTAGGTGTGGTACTGAACTGTACAATATGGGTAAAAAGAATTGTCATTTCAGCAGACAAGGTTGGAACTAATTCTTTGGAAAGCCAGATGGAAAACATATTTTGCATGTACAGGAACTGTATATGCATTAGACAGGGAGAATTCATGGTTACTGAAGGGCTAAACCACTAAAAATATGATTTCACAAGAAGACATACTGTTTTTTTAACTTGTTCATCAGTACAAGCACATTTGGGAATCTGAGAGCTGTAACACAAGTCATAACAGATGCTGGGAAACTTTATTTTCATGTTATTGTAGTTGACTAGGACTTTTTTGCAATGAACTCTTGCTCTGTAAGAAGCAAGGGGATATGATTTTGGAGAAAACCCTTTACATTTAGACTTCATGTGTATTTCAATGTAATGACTATTGAAAGCCTCTTAGCATTTAAAAGTACTGAGGCTAGTCTTAGTGTGCATATTGGTCTTGTATGTTAAAATGAAGAACTCTAAGATCTGTTTCATTTTTCATTATTTTTCTCACTTAACATTTTTTTACTGCAAGCTGTTGATTGCAGAAGATGTTTGCTTTTGTCCTTATGACCTCTGCTTCCTTGTTTGTGCAGTGAGCTGTCTGAACATATAACATGATCTAGAAGTATATCTTAAGTTTAATAATTAGAAATCATGAAGTGCCTTTTATGTGCTTATTTTAAGACTTCAAGCTTGCTGCTCATGTAGATTAAATTGCTCCAGCTCTGGAGCCATTAGCAATGTAGTCCTTGTAATGTTTGGTCTAAGACAATGTATATTTATGTGCTAGTGCTTCTAAGTGATCAGAAAGCAATCAGAATAAAGGCAATAATTATTTGAAAATATAACTAGATTCTCCATGTTGCTGGAATCCACTGTGATTCAGCAAGTTAAAATAATAAGCTGTTACT